GTGTGTGCGTGCATGCGTGTGTGTGTGCGTGCGTGTGTGCGCGCATGTGTGTGTGCGTGCATGTGTGTGTATGCATGTGTGCATGTGTGCGTGCGTGCACGCGTGTGCAGGTGCTCATGAGTATGCGTGTGCCAGTGTGTGGAAACAGGAAGGCAAATGCATGTCCCCCTTCTCAGGTGCCACCCACCTTTGTTTTTTGGGACCGGACCCGTCTCCCTATCCCCAAGGTTGCACTTGTGTGTGCACCATGCCTGGCTTTTGACGCAGGCTCTGGGGGTCAGACTCGTGTGGCAGGTGCTGTTTTTCAGCCAAGCCCAGCCCCTGCTCAGCAGCACCCAGACGTCGGCACCCTCCGGCTGCTCCAGTTCCTGAACACTCACACCAGACCTGTCTGCCCTGCCCTGTTCTCTCTTGTAATAAACCTGCTTCTGGTCAGGTGTGTCCTCCCTCATCTCTTGTACTAATCTCACTTGCTCTGGGGAAGGCAGCCCTGCCCCCTGCTCGGGCTGGAGTCCTATACTGTCCTGATGTGCATCCGTGTCATCTGAATTCCACGTGTTAAAGGCTTGGTCCCTGGGTGTTGCTGCTGAGTAGTGTTGCAACCTCTAAGAGGCAGGACTGCAGAGCAGGTTCTGAGGTCACCGGGGACATGCCCTTGAAGGGAATGATGGGGCTTCAGCCCTTTCCACCACCGTTGTTTTCCTTTGTGGCTTATGAGTTCAGCTAGGTGCTCACCAGCTGTTGCTGTCTGGTACAACCACCCAAAGCAATGCATCTTGGGCTGCAAGGCTGCAGCCTCCCGACCTGAGCCAAAGGAAACATTTCCTCTTTGATCGTTAATGACCTTGGGTCCTTTGTGGCAGTGACATGAAGCTGACTAATGCATAGACAATTACAATTTTATATTTTCATGACCACAGTGATTCAAAAGTGAGAGGGTGTGAGGTCTGGTGCTTCGCACTGGTGAAGTCTGGTGAAGAGTGAGCAGATGCTGCGGGCCTCAGAAGCAAAGCTCAGCTGGTGCTCATCCAGTTCCCCAGTGCTGGCTTGACCATGACACACACACACACAGACACACAGACACACACACACACACACCAGCATGGACACACACGTACACACAGACACATGTACACACACTCACATGTACACACACTCACATGCACACACACTCACACATGCACACGCACTCACACATGCACATGCACTCACACGTGTACATACATACCAGCATGGACACACACACAGACACACACATGTACACACATTCACACACACTCACACATGCACACACATACAGGTACATACAGACACACATCAGCATGTACACACACAGACACACACATGCATACAGACACACACACACAGACACGTACTCACACACATGTACACACACTCACACATGCACACGCACACACACACATGTACACACACTCACACATGCACATGCACTCACACACACCAGCATGCACACACACAGGTACACACACACAGACACAATCACACACACACATGCACACACACCTATATTCCGTGTGGGACCACACTCTTTGTTATTTGTAACTTCACGGTTCCTGACCAATCCATACTCCCTGCGGGGGTCACATGACACCCGCAGTCAGGCGAGAGTGTGGTGAGGGTCACATGACTGTGACATCCAGTCAGGTGGTGAGAGCAGTAGATACTGGTGCTCAGATCAGTCCCCCTTTTTGTCCATCCCTCCCCTGGCCACAAGGTGGCGCCACCTGCAGTCAGGGCAGCCTCTCTACCTCAGCTAACAAATCTACAAACCCTGTCACACGTTAGATTCTGGTAGATTCAGGACCTCTCCTTTTCTCTCTCTGTTCGTTCTCCTCTCCTCCTCTCTCTCTGTATCCTCTTCCTCCCTCCTTCCCTTCCCATCCACCCCAACCCTCCCCTCCTTCCTTTTCTGATTTCTTTCTTTTCTTTTTTTGAATGAATGGCTGGAGAACAGAAATTTGAACAGGAAGACAACATCCCACCCAGTTCCTTTCTCTGAGTTCTGTAACAGTGTGACCCCCCCACTCCATGCACACATGTACACATGTGCACCACACACCTATGCATCCGTTCACACAATCACATACACGTGGGCATGCTCAGTTGTTCCGCCACGTGCCTGACTTATCTTTGGAGGTTTTGTTGTTGTTGTTGTTCTGTGTGTTCTCCACACCCACCTCCTCGGCTCTGATGCCTTCAGGTCTCTCTGTCTAAGGCCCCAGTTATTTTTTTATGTCAGGAAGGAACTCCAGACTCCTTCAGGTCCTTATCTGTAGTTGGTAATTTGTCTGAGCTCACGGGGGAAGGGCATTAGAACTCCTGAGACCACACCCCCGGCAGACTGATGAGATACAACCCAAGTCATGGCAACCAAGGTCTCCCAAGTTCCCGACTTTGTGCCCAAGACGCGCAATGGAAAGGGACACAGTGTGCTGGGCGAGGGGGCGAGGGGGCCTTGTAAGCAGCCTTGGTGATGCATGTGTGTATCTGTTGGGACTCACAGCGGAGCCACGAAGGATCACTGGTCGTAGACACACACGCTACTGCTTCTGCTTCTGGTTATAGGATGCTGGCAGCAGCTCAGCAGTCCTCAGAGCCCAGGCCGACACGGAAAGAGCCTCTCCTCTCCACCCCTACGTCCAGGCCTGTGGATTGCTCATGTCCCTGCTCTGCCTTTACCAGGCCTGCCAAGCCTGTAGTACCACCTAGCCTTAGCCAGCAGCCTCAAGCTGGCTCAAGGACAGGACAGGAGTGGCTGGAGTGTTCACGGCAGCTTTCCAGCTGCCCCGAAACCACCACAGGGGAGTTGTTTTACGTTTTATCGGTTTGGCTTTGTGGATATTTGGGTGATGAGCCTGGCTGCCTTTGAATACGAATCCTCCTGCCTCCGGTTCCTGAGTGCTGGGTCTCTGTATGTGCCTCCACACCCAGCCAAAAAGACATCTCTGATGTTGTTTTATTGTTAGCTGTCTCCAAAGAGAATCTTTCCTGGAGGTTCTGGGGGGAAGGAAGTGAGAGGGGCGGGGATGAAGACAGGGACCCAGCACTGTCGGGCGGGGCCAGTGTGAGTAGGCGTGCCCTTGGGTCTCCTCTGCCAGGACTGTCTCCCTCAGTCCTCATGGAGGGGTCCAGATTCACAGGTGCCACATGGCCACCCAGGCACGCAGGCAGGCACTGGGATTCTCCTGTGCAGCCAGGTCTGCTCAGAGGGTCTCTGCATGTGGGATGGAGCATCTCTCATCACCTCAGGCCTGACCACGGATCATCTTGATCCTTCACATAGCCTTCTGGGCTCTCAAAGGCCACATGCTCTATAGGAGGAGAGTTTCCTGGGGAGCTTCCCAGGCCACTCACAGCTGAGAGCCTGTGGTCCTGACTCAGGGGACTCAGGCCCTCCGCCTGCTCAGTGAATTCACGGGACAGGCTCCTGCTCCACATCCCCTGGGTATGTGGAGAGGGAGAGGATGTGGCAATGAGGGCCTGGCAAGGTCACAGAAGTTGCCCACTTCCCCTGCCCATGGAGCTGGACACGGCCTGGCTGAATGGGAGGCTGTTGCTAAGCTCACCATTATGGCTTTGCACCCCTGTCCTCTCAAGTCCCTGTCCGTTGCCTCTCTGTGTGTCCCTGACCTTGAGGAAGAGGATAGGCTCTCTCAATGGCCAAGCCAGGTCTTGGTCCAGAGTCACACAGCTAGTTGGAGACATCTTGCCCCCAGTTTGGGCTTCTGCCTACTGTCCCAGACACTCAGGGCAGTGTTAGGGAAGCCCCTCTGCCTGGGCCCGGTGGTGGCGAGGCTGTCTGTGCTGCATGGATTCACCTTTTCCAGGGTCCCCTACCCAGCTACGGTTGTCCCCCAGCCTGTCTGTCCTAGTTCCATCCAGGCTGTGGTCTCAGCCACAGCTCTCATAGCAACACTTGCCCGTTCTCCCAGCCCAGGAAGCATGTCTAGCCATGAGATCACCTGTGTTTCGTGCACCAGGTCATGGAAAGTAAGGAAACGTTTGAGCGCAAAGTAAATTTGCCAAGGTTGGAAGTCAAGTTTCTGTAATGTAGTGCAGAGACAATTGTTAGTCAGAGATAAACAGAGATACTTTGATATATGGAGAGAGAGAGAGAGAGAGAGAGAGAGAGAGAGAGCGAGCCCAGGTGTGCTGCGATGTATAAACAACATTAGGGGAGCCCAAGGGGCCCAAGGCCATGCTGGGGTAGGAAGGTAGAAATCAAAGAAGGCTTCCAGGAGTAACCGGTGCTGGGCTTGCAAGAAAAGCTATGCTTTAGGGACAGCCCCGCCTCAGAAAACTGGTAAAGATGAAGCAACTCGGGTGACAGGTGCATGAAGGTGATGGTGAGCCAGGGTGATGAAACTGTGGCAGCCGGAGGCGCTTTGGCTTTGGACAGCTGTGTGAAGAGAAAGGGTGTCAGGCCCCGTGTGGAAACAAGCAGAGGCCATAGGCCTAACGGGTGGGTAGGAGGCGATGTTTCACAGGCATTGCGGGACAGACAGAACTGGGCCTGATTGTGTGCGAGGGAGCAGGCGAGGTGTTTGGTGTCTGCTCTGGGTCATGGGTGAAGGGAAGTCCCGAGCAGAGAGGCAGGGGAGGAGGGAAAGAAGCTGCTCACTGGAGTGTGGAATGGATGCCAAGTTCTGCAGGGACCAAGCGTATGCAAAGGGCTGTGAGATCCCACAGGGAGATGGAAGGCACCCGATGGGGAAAACCAACTCAGTGCTGTTCTTGGGAACCATGGGGAGAAGATGCAGAGGAGAGAAAGGTACAGAGGAGGCAGCTCGAGTGGCTCCTGTACCAAATGTGGCGATTCTCCAAACCTGGCCCCCGAACCCTCAGACTGTGGCGAGACCTCTTTCAAAAGCTCTGCAGAGTCTGAGAGCTGCAAAGCACCTGATGTGTTTCTTTGACATTGTTCAAGTTCTGGCTCTTTGGGAACTCTGAGCTAAGAGATACACACCAGAAGACACGCCTCAGCTTTAACCCTTTGCTTTCTTTCAGCATGTCTGTTAGGAAATTAACAATTGCACACATGGTTTACTCCACTGAACCCATAGGATGTGGAGTAGGGCACCCAATAAAGCAGGCAGGACGGTTTGAGGCAGCCTTCGGAGGATGTTGGACTCATGGGAGCTCATTCTGTCCAGGATGAGTCAAGCCTAGCTGCAGACTGAGCTGTCCACGGGTTCTCCTCCCGAGAGAGCGGGAGAGGGGTCTGGCAAAACACACGGGAGAAATGGCATGTTTCAGGCAGCATGTCTACCTATGTGATGTCTCGGAGGCAGGGGTGCCTCAGAGCCGGAGGATGGCTATGGGCTGCAGCCACTGAGGACTGCAGGGTGTGGTCAGGCCCACGAGCTCACTGCATGGGCTTCAGGCGGTAGCGGAAGCGCACCTCATGGCTGGGCTGTGAGGTGCCGAAGCCCCAGCGCCTTGGGTCAATAGGGGGCACGGGCATGTGAGGGTCCACCAGCTCAAAGTCATAGTACATAACCATAAGCAGGATAAAAATCTTCATCTCACTGAGGGCAAAGAACCTGCCAGGGCAGATGGAGACACCCGAGCCCCAAGGCATGTTGTAATGGTGGATCTTCTTGCCCGACTTGTAGAAGTCCACCTTCCGGGTGCCATCGGGGTTGAGGAACCGATTGTACTTGAAGGTCTTGGGCTCGGGGTGGATGTCGGGGTCCATGTGCACTGAGAGGTAGGGGAAGAGAGCCACCTTATCTCCACGACGGATCTGGTACTCCTGCCCACTGGCCATCTTTAGGACAAAATCCTTCTGCACCACCCTGAGGAGAGTGGGGGTGGCCCCCAGTCGCAATGTCTCCTCCATCACGCTGTCCAACACCGGGGTGCATTTCAGGGCACTGAGCGTGAAGGCGAAAGACTTTTTGTCTTCCAGTCTGGCCTCGCCCAGGACCCGGGTGGCTTCCTCTTTCACGGCCTTCATGGCATCCTGGTGCTTTAGCAAGAATAAGAGGGCCCAGAAACAGGTCGGCCCGGTGTTCCCCTGGGAGGCCCAGAGCATCATGAAGTTAAATTTGTCCTGCATGGATGAATCTGTTCCCTGCTCCCTCAGAGACTGAAGCATGCAGCCTAACCAGCTACTTATGCCGTCTTTCTCCAGGTTTTGCTCCACAGAGAGTCTCTGGTGGAAGAGATGCTGGAGCTGGCTCACTTCTACCCACTCTCGGGGCCCCAGCAGGGAGTAAACAAACCTGGGGAAAAGAAGGTCAAACCTGCGGAACTTGGCGAACAGCGCCTCGGCCTCCTGCAGATCCTGCGCCCTGTCCTTGGTGTAGCCAAACAAGCCGAGGAAGCCAGCCTTGAACAAGACACTGTAGCAGAAGCAGAAGAGGCCGTCTTCGTGCCAGGAACTGGCGTCCGGGCTCGGGCCTTTGGGCCCTAGCATCACCAAGGACAGGCTGTCCAGCATGGTCGTGTTGAGATCCTCCAAGCCTTGCCCCATGAGATGCTTGGTACTGGCTGAGTGTATCATGTGGTGGTCCCCATCCATGGCCTGGTATCCAAACACCTTCAGCACCAGCTCCTGCGCATACTTTATGAAGTCTAGTGTTTTCTGTGTGTCCTTAAGGATGGGGCCAAAGGACAGGGGGTCCATGAGGAAGGTGAAGTACTGGCCCCCTAGCTGAACCGTGAACACATCCCCGTGCTTGGCCCGCATCCCCTTCAAAAATTCAAACATATTCTTCCGGAAAGCCATGGCATGGCCCAGCCAGGGCACAAAACCCTTGTCCAGAGGCGGCTCCTGGGGCCTGCGGTGCCTGAGCAGCGCGGGCAGACACAGGCATCCCACAACGACCACGAGCAAGCCTCCAAGCACCGGACCCCACAGCACCATGGCCAGGCTCTGGCTGAGCTCTGCAGTCTTGGCAGCTTAGTGCTTGTCAGTCCTCCGCTGCTGGAACTGCTTTATGTGGCCTTCAGAAGTCGGGAACGCAAAGGTCCGTGCCCTTGGACCTTGCTGTGTCACTGTGGGATGTGGTAAATAACTCTAGTTAGCTGGCACCAGGAGGAAACACAGCAGAGCCTGGCCAGATAAGAGTGGGAGGGGATGACCATATAGAAGGCAAAGGAAAAGCCCAGAACTACGGCCGGCCGCCGTTTGTGTGCCCGCTGTGCACTTTGCTCTGACCTCTTAGATGCAGATCCCATGCTGTCTCTGCACTTGCCTTGGCACTCCCCTACCGACCAATCACACAGCAATGTACTCCATCACTAAATGTACATGTCCCTTTCCTCGTCTTAGACTAATTTTTAAAATTATGTGTGTGTGTATGTATGTGTGTGTGTGTGTATGTGTGTGTATGTATGTGTGTATGTGTATATGTGTGTGTATGTGTGTATGTGTATATGTGTGTATGTATGTATGTATGTGTCTATTATGTGTGTATGTATGTGTGTATGTGTATGTGTGTATGTGTATATTGTGTGTATGTGTGTATGTGTGTGTCTATTATGTGTGTATGTATGTGTGTATGTGTATATGTGTGTATGTATGTGTATGTGTGTGTATGAGTGTGTATGTGTGTGTATATGAGTATGTGTGTATGTGTGTGTATGTGTGTATGTATGTGTATGTGTGTGTCTATTATGTGTGTATGTATGTGTGCATGTGTATGTATGTGTGTATGTGTGTATGTGTGTATATATGTGTATGTGTGTGTATGTGTATGTATGTATGTGTATGTATGTATGTATGTGGAGTACACGGTTGACATTGGTATCTTCCTCTACTGAATCTTCACCTTAGCTTTAAAATTTACCACATTTGATTCTTTCTTTCTTTTCAAAGATTATTTTTATTTATGTGTAGGCATGTTTGCCTGCTTACATATATGTATACATACCACATGCATGCCTGGTGCCGGTGGAGGCCAAAAAAAGGGCACTGGATCTCCTGGAACTGGAGTTACAGACAGTTGTGAGCCTCCCTATATGTGTGCTCTGGAAAAGCAGAAAATGCTCTTAACTGATGAGCTACTTCTCCAGCTCCTATAACTTATTTTCTTTTTGAGGCAGGATTTCTCCCTGAACTTTGAGTTCACTGACTGATTACACTGGATGGCCACTGAGTTCCCAGGATTCTTCTGTCTCTACCTCTCCATTGCTGGAGTTACAGGTATGCACAGTGAGCCTGGCTTGTCATGTAGGTACACAGGTGTGCACAGTGAGCCTGGCTTGTCATGTAGGTATACAGGTGTGCACAGTGAGCCTGGCTTGTCATGCAGGAACCAAGGATTCAGACTCAAACTTTACTCACTGAGCTGTCTCCCTATCCCCTTTCATTGTTAAGGCTCAGTGTTCCCATTTCCAGCAGGTCCCCATTCCAGGTGGCTATGGGCCTCACGGGACCACTTCCCATGGAAATGAGAGCTCCCTCCCATTGGTGCTCAGGGACAACATCAAGGACAGCCCGCTGCTGCAGTAGGTGTAGTCCATGCTCTTATTTCAAAAGGAATACCAGCATTCATTCTGGAGTAAAGTGTGGGTGGCCATGACCCAGGAACACAGGTTCAAGTCACCTCAAACACCACGTTACCCATGGCAACAGCTTAATGGCATCTTTGTAGTCTAGGCACCTGTGAAGCACTTGGCGGGCGGGTTGGGGGGAAGGGGTCTGCTGTTGGTTCAGGAGTGTCTACCTGCAGTTTCAGGTTTGGGGAAACACAAGGAGTCTGCTTGTACACCCTGACTGGACACTGGGCAATGTGTAGCTACTTAGGGGCCAGCAAACCCTAAGATAACTTGTCTCTGGATCTGCCAACATTACAGTTCTCCACGCCCACTAAAGTTTTAACCAGCCAGTTTCAATAAAATGGCTTTCTTTTTTTTGGAAGCTTCTAAATTCTTCTCTAATTTCCTAACCTACGAATAGGGACTTTGGTTCCTCAGACCACAGCGGTTTATACTCCCCATTGTCTTCTGCCTTGAGTTCCTCCCTGGCACACTGCCTCCAGGAAGTCCTCTGTGACCTCCCTGCTTCCAGGGCTTGAGGGTGAGTCATAAACAGTGAGGCAAACACGTGGAGCCGAAGTCTTTAGTGCATGCAGCGCCATGTTGCCTTCCTGCCTTCACCTGCCCACCCTTTGCTGCCTGCGGCAGCTTCATGCAGCCAGTCAAAAGTGTGTGTGAGTGAGTGTGTGTGAGTGTGTGAGTGTGTTAGTGTGTGTGAGTATGTTAGTGTGTGTGAGTGTGTGTGAGTGTGTTAGTGTGTTAGTGTGTGTGAGTGTGTGTGTGAGTGTGAGCGAGTGTGTATGTGTGAGTGTGAGTGTGTGTGCATGAGTGTGTATTGTGTGAGTGTGTGAGTGTGTATGAGTGTGTGTGAGTGTGTGAGTGTGTGTGAGTGTGTTGAGATGTTTGTGTGTATGAGTGTGTGTGAGTGTGTGTGGTGTGTGTTTGAGAGTGTGTGAGTGTGTGAATGTGTGTGTGTGTTGTGTGGGGTGTGTGTGTGTTGTGTGTGTATGTGTGATGTGTGTGTGTGTGGTATACTGTGTGGGGTGTGTGTGTGTATGTGAGGTGTGTGGAGTGTGTGCGAGTGTGTGTATGTGTGTGAGTGTGTGAGTTGTGAGTGTGTGAGTGTGAGTGAGTGTGTGAGTGTGAGTGAGTGTGTGTGAGTGTGTTGAGATGTTTGTGTGTATGAGTGTGTGTGAGTGTGTGTGGTGTGTTTGAGAGTGTGTGAGTGTGAGTGTGTGTGAATGTGTGTGTTGTGTGGGGTGTGTGTGTGTTGTGTGTGTATGTGTGATGTGTGTGTGTGTGGTATACTGTGTGGGTGTGTGTGTGTGAGTGTGTGTGTATGTGAGGTGTGTGGAGTGTGTGTTGAGATGTGTGTGATGTTTGTGTGTGTGGTATACTGTGGGGGGGTTGCCATAGTTGTAATGAAACATCATAACAAAAACAACTTGGGGACGAAAGGGTCCCATCAGGAGGGGAAGCCAGGGCAGAAATCCAGGCAGAACTGAAGCAGAGGCCATGACTGAATGCTGCTTGCCACTTTCTCATTCAACACAGGAGCACCAGTGTAGGATGGCACTGCCCATGGTGAGGTGCCCCCCATCAACCATTAACAAAATGCACTAGTCTTAGCAACAGGCCAGTGTAGGTGGGGGTTTCCTATCCCAAGTAACTGACTCGGAGACTGAATATAAATTATAAATGCTTGGCCAACAGCTCAGGCTTGTTACTAACTAGCTCTTACAAAGTAACCCGTTTCTATTAATCCACGTGCTGCCCCAAGGCTCCTGGCTTTCACCTCTACCCTGTCTTGTGTGTCTGACTCGTTCTTCGGCTGGCTTGCTTGACTCCGCCCTTCCTCATCCCATCACTCAGTTTGGCTTTCCCATCTACTGTTATCCTGTTCCGCTATTGGTCAGTCAGCTTGTTTATTAAACCAAGAGTAGCCACACCTATTCACACAGTGTATGGACTGGTTATCCCACATGTGGGCACTCTGTCTCAATTGAGGTTCCTCTTGCCGGATGGTTCCTGCAGCGACAGGCTGAGAAAAACTAGCACGACAAGCTCTTACTGAGGGACACTTGCTAAGCGCTGGGAGCTTAGCCCCCAGTCTCCACAGCTGTGGAGATATTAGATCGCTGCCCCAGATACACAAGTGCAACTATGCTAAATAACGCTGAATGCAGAACGTGAAAGGAGGCGGGCATCAGGAGCAATGGCGATCATGTGGTGGCCATCGGTTAAGCAGAGGCTGGGGGACAAGACAAGGTTCCCCAGTGATGGCTCTAATGGTGGGATGGGGTGGGTTGGGGGGGTTGTTCAACTTAAGGGACACAGCTCTGGACTCAATGTGGGAAAGAAATAAGTGGCAGTGGTCCTGGAATGCAGAGTTAGATCACCTGAAAATTAATGTTTCAATGCGGTGATGGTTTTGTAGAGTTTACGACAAAGATGGTGACCCAAGACACTTTCCAAACACTTGGTGAAAGTATTAGGAGGTGGGTTACTGCAGAGCAGGGACATCTTTAGGGACATCTCCGATACAGGCCTCAGATGCTACCAGACAACTTTTTTTAGCTTTTGGGTTGGCGGAGGCTATGGCTCTGATTGTGGACTCCAATAAGTCCTACTGAATAGTCACCCATTATTCCTACCAGCCTGTGTCACATATACCGGGTCACTACGGGACACGAAAAGGCAAAGGTGGGTTCTTCCCTCAGCCCCGTCACCTACTTATGGGATGACTAAGACCGGTCTATTCAGTATGTCGTGGTAGAAGGCTGCCTTTGTCAGTCTTGCCAGCAGTTCAATGCTGTTACAAAGGGGCCGGGTCGTCCATTCAGTAAGAGGCTGAGAGAAGAGCTAGAACATGCTTTCAAGAGGCTGGGGACCCGAATGACCCGCATTAAGCCCCAGTTGTGTGCACGGCTCTCCAGTGGTCACCCGGTTGCCACTCAGACACACCCCCCCCGGGGTGGTTTGAAGGAGGAATCACCCACCATGGGCTCCAGGATGTAAACGCACGGTTCCTAGTTGGCAGCACAGTTTGGGGGTTTATCCTCGCTGGGTGGAGGAAGTATGCCATTGGAACAGCCTCACTCCACTACCTCTTGCTCACTCTTTAGACTGAAGGTGTGAGCTTCCCACTCCTGCCCCGTGCCGTCAAGTCTCCCCACCATGATAGACTCCCATCCCCGCTGGAACTGTAAGCCGTGATAACTTTCTTCACGAGTTGCTTTTGCTTATAGTGGCATAACTAATAAGTCACCATTCTTTTAAAAATCGTGTATAGCGTCTGTTTATGGGAGGGGACTCATGCATGTGAGTACAGTGCCCACGGAGGCCAGAAGAGGGCGTACGATCCCCTGGAGCTGGAGCTACAGGGCCTG